AGAAAGTTGTCCGAGAATTGGGAGGATTTAGGGGACGAATACTCGATATTGTATGAGAACTAATTGACCCGTCTCTGGAATTAGTGCTCACGAACCTTTTAAGACATTTTCCCCAGATTCAAGATGGCTAATTGCCAGTTCCTTAGATTCTGTCATCCGAACTTATGATGTCCCGACTGGTCGACTGATCGACGCCTTCAGGACACCCAGTGTGGCCACGAGCGTTTCGTTTTCACCGACAAATGACTTCCTCGCAACGTCACATGTCGATAGCGTCGGCATTTATCTCTGGTGAGCCTCTCGAAATATTTAAGCAGCTTGATCAATCTGACCGACCATTGACAGGGCAAACCGTGCGCAGTATGACACTGTCTCCTTCCAGAGTGTCAACGACAACGATCTGGCGGACACTGCACTTCCTTCAATGCAAGGAACTGCGGAGGATGAAGGTGAGCGAATATAATTATTACTCAGATCGTTTTAACGCTCCTTACTCTTAGCACTTGACTCTCTACCACCGTTGTCTGCACAACAAGAAGCTACCGATATTTTCATGACTCCTCCTCAACTAGATGGGGAGCTCATAACGCTGACGCTACTTCCCCGCTCTCGATGGCAAACGCTGCTCAACCTAGAAGTGATACAAGTGCGCCTTTCTAATTTGGGCACGACTTCCTTTTGACCCTCTCCTTAGCATCGTAATAAACCAAAAGAGCCCCCAAAAGCCCCAGAAAAGGCGCCCTTCTTTTTGCCCACCCTTCCTGGTGTCGAGACGCGGTTTGCTGTCGAGGCCTCCGAACAGGAGAATGCTTCGAAAAAGTCAACGCGAAGATTGGAGAATGCTGCAGGCCATTCACAGAGCCAGTTCCACAGACAGTTGAACTCCGAATCTCGTGAAGGGGATTGTAGGTTACTACGTCCATTCACAGCGCTATCTGACCTTTTCCAATAGACGAAACATTTTTCAACCTAATAAAATCCCTATCACCGGCTGCCTTGGACTTGGAAATTCGCTCACTCATCTCCCTTAACAGTCTTCAGCTATTCACTCACTCCTTGAGGCAACGACTACTTTCGCATAAGGATTTCGAAGCCGTCCAAACTCTCCAAAATGTTTTCCTTCGTATTTATGGGGATGTACTGATTGAAAATTCTGAGCTTCAATCGGATATGATGAAGCTTCTGGAAGTACAACAGAAGGAGAGCGAAAGAGTTCTGGAGTTGATTGCTTCGTCTCTGGGAACTTTGGGATTCGTTAGGGACCGATCATGATGTCTGCAAGTTGCTATGGCTGTTGGAGGTATTAGCTGTAGGTACCGCACAACCCATCTAGGAGAACATATACTGTTGCATATTTGTTCGGCGGATAAGCACACCAATCATGTCACGATGGCCCAATGTCAAGCCCAAGTAACAGTATTGAAAACCGACCGGGTGGATGGAGTTCTTACAGAACTAATATCTAGTACACCCATGAATACAAGTCCACCCCGAGACTGCACTATCTGTGGCCAGTAATTTTCAAGTCTATCCTTGTAACAACTCGTGCTTAGGCGATTACTGTTCTTGTGCTGGGAGAGAAAATCTATGATCCTTCGTATCATGGAAAAGAAGGGTAGGCAATGAATTGGTAGCTTGCTCAACGATGGCTGGGCCAGACCCTCCTCGAAAGAGTTAAATATGTATATTAAACTGTCCAACGATCCCCGACCTCACGTCATAACTCTACGTACTCATGCCAGCTCAATGTAGCGTTCCACTATGTCAAATCAATCAGATACCCCAGCCGCATAAGACAATAAACTCACCCTCCCAATCAGTAACAGCCTCGTTCCACAACTTGACCTCATGTTCTCGCGTTCCACCATAGTGTTCAACGAACACATCACCTAGCATTTCTGGCTCTCTGGCGATACTTTCTGGCTTCATCATCTGGATCGTGGCAGCCTCCAGCGACATTGGAAGCATCTTCACCTAATCAAAGCTGTAAGACCCCAGGGCGGGGCAACATCGACGCCATACGGCCTACCTTCCCGTTCTTCTTGTCCTCAGGCGTAAAATGGCTGATAGGCGATATTGTGAGCTTGAGCTTCTTCTCGATACCCCTTAGACCGAGGAGGAAAACTGCACTCAAGGCGAAATATGGATTCATGTCCGCCCCAGGTATACGAACTTCGAACCTCGTCGCCGCGGGAGGGACTGAAGGCGGCGAGAGGATACGGATGGACGCTGCACGGGAATCGTAGCCGTATGTAACAGCGTTTGGCGCCCAGAACGCTTCCCCGCCTACTAGGCGCTTGTAGCCGTTGATGGTAGGGACCAACTGCAGCGGAGGTAAGAAAAGCAATGGCAGTTCGAATGTCGATTACTTTCCAGGGGCATGACTAGCATGGAGTCTGTCAGTACTCACGAAATGATTGATAGTAAATGATAGTAAACTGACTGTCAGCAACACCGTCAAGAATACCGGCAAGGAACTGCTCAGCTGCTTCGCTTATGTACTTGGTATCTTCGAAAGCAGCTCCTTCACGCCCTATCGCAACATCAGATCGGGGAAGTGCGAATATATTTTGACCCTGGTTGTTTCGTAGAGAGACATGAATATGACTATAAGGGCCGTTAGTGGTGGGAGATGTGGGAGATGTAGAGGATTCGTACCCGCTACAGCCTGGAAGCTGTATGTAAGGTTAGAAGCGGCATCCATTAATATATCGTAGTGACGAACTTTGTTCCAAGGCTTGGCCATGAAGCTTGGAATGATGCCTTGCTGCATACCAATGCTTTTCGTTAGGTACTTGAATAGTATTGCGTTGTCAGCCATTCGAAGAGCAGTAGTATAAGCCAAGGCGGTCTCTAGGACTCCAGGACCGGTTTCGGTGTCTATCGGATGTACGCGTCAGGAAGTATGAAGTGTTAGTGTGGGAACGTACGATGTCCTTCAATGTCAACGCCAAATTTGGCGCCCAAATTGAAAATATGATGAAAGTACTCGTTGTTCAGTTGAGTACGCAGAAGAGAGTACCCGTGCACTTAATATATATGAATGAGAGAATCGAAGTATTGACAAAATAGCCTACTTCCTGGTGTCAGCGGTTTCAAGTTGTGGTACTTCTTCTTTGATAGTGACCCTGGCGTTTCTGTGGGCAGTGTATAAGAAGAATGTTGGTCTTGGTCACACGACTAGCCTTTGAAGTTGAAGAACTAATAGAAACATGCGTCAGTTCACATCCACATATGGAGAAACGGCTAACCTCGTATTCTACACCAGCAAAACACTCGAAGCCTAGTGATGCCGCCCGTTCAGTCGTGATCCTCAAGATACCCCTTGGGTCAACTACGAGTGGTTCTTTCGTATCGGGATCCAAGAAAGACACCAAGAAGAAAGGCACATCATCTTCCCAGGGAATGCGACGGTAGGTGGAGAGATCGATACGTGCTAGGATGTCCCGGTAGCCATTGGTCTTGTTCGATATTAGTAGCTCTCGTGAATAGACGGTGTCATGTATGTCCCAGCCACTGTGGGCGCCATTGAGCTTGCGAGATCCGAAAGGTGTGTTAAACGTACAATATGACGCTGCAAAAGCCAAATCCGTCCGACGATACTGCACTGATAAATTTATCTTTGCTCTAAGAGATCTTCAACGCGCGTCTCGAACAAAATAGAACGGAACTCGCACCATGAACTTGCCACGAAGTACTCCGTCAACTAGTAGACGCGTCAGAATGCACTAATGTTGCAGCAAGCAAGTTCCTACCGTCGATTCCTTGATAGCATTAAGCCCAAAGCCAATTCGTATTTCAGGCAGTCCTTACCAGCAACCTTGACTTTGATATCATCCTTCAAAATATTCTTGAGTTCCTCCAAGGTCTTGGGTGCACCAGCAGTCGCAGACATGATAGCCGGAAGTGAAAGGGATCAAGTATGATCGTCTCTTATCAAAGCTATTAAGTAACTTTGTGACAAACTTCCATGTGCGCGAGTCTCACGCCACGGCGACGACGACCAAGCCCTCCGCTATATCGCTTACACTCGGGGGCCTGCTAGGCCAGGCTCATTCGATACGGCGACCAGATCTATCCGCCTCAAGACTTCATTTCCAAGATAGCTCATGGCGAGAGCTGGACAAAGCGTAGCCCCGTACCCAGGCGCATTCGCGATAACGCACTGTAGGATTGTGAACCGTCGATGAAATACTGAGATATCGTATCAGCGATACGGCAAGTTTGTGCGGCTTCGAAACTATCATAAGGATCGCCCGTCACCATGGGGATGCAAAATTAACAAAAGGAGGTCGAACGTCTCAACCTCGACTGGATCCACGCTTGGGTTTCAGCTTCTTGTGATCACATTCTATGACTGCGAAAATCCGACATGTGCATATAAGTAAATGTCGACGCGTCTCATATCGAAACATCATTGTCAATACTATTTTCTACATATACAGGCATGAGATCTTTGTCTGATAGGTTTTGTAGTGAAGTGGTTATCGCCTTGGATTCTTGCAATTTTTAGGCCAGTTATATCCGACAGCGAGAACAGCATTAGCATCGACTTCCCTATGCAAGTATTCCCACCTAACAATGTCAACGCTTTGTATTGTTATGGCCTATTTCACGAATCGCCTTATATACCAAAACCAGAGCCAAAGCAAGAAAAGATCCGGCGTGGAATGTAGGGCGTAGTAGTGGACATGGTGGCTATTTTTTTGCCCTCTCGCAGGATTGGTTATATTGTGTCAGCGGTTGGCGGTGGCCTTTTGTTTTTGTGAGTAGTCTTACGGCTGAAGGTGTCCTTTTCGTTTGATCGTCATATTGAGTCAGGACTATCCGACAACTATAGTGAGGGTACCTCAAGCTCGCGCAGATTCTTGCTGCCTTTGCTTCTTGCTATAAAGCGATTTAACTCAGCGAAGACTTGTCAGCCAATGTTAGGACTCGTTAAGAGCTAGCATCACTCTTTCTGATAACTAATATAAATTTACAAAGTCATCAAATAACATGGTCTTATAGTGTAGTGGTTATCACTCAGGATTTTGACTTTGTCGCTTATATAATCAGCTTCCTGGAACCCAGGTTCGAACCCTGGTAAGACCTTTGATGGTTACAGTTTTGCGTTCCGGAGCAACAGAACTTGCAGGGTTGTCTACGAAACTCCCAGGGGGTGCAAATTACAGGTTTCTACCGACCCCTCCTGGAAAGGTGTGTTTTGATACAATGTCACATGCATAATGATATGACGGACGCACGACAATTATGGAATCTTTTCCGTCATTTTTACCTTCGCGCTTTTTTACTCTCTTGAATTGTAATTTACTGCAAAAGCTTACGGAACTCATGCCTTACTTTGTAAATACAATATCAACGCAATAGGATTCAATGATATGTATTCATAGGTAAAAATGCATTGTTTTTCATCCAGTGTTTATTATGTACTCGTACTCGTGGAACTCCCAAAAAGACTTGTATCTGATTCTCATCAAGGTAACTTACCTGTTATATGACTGCCCACTCAGCAGAAGGATTCACTAGTGCTGCATGTATATTATATTTACAAAATACAATCATAGATATGTAAAATTTCCAGGTGAAGTACAGATCAAAAAAATGTGTACAAACGCGAAGACTCTGCGGTTATGCACGTGATAGGTAAGTAAAGGTAAATTACTGTATCGAAAAACCCTTCTATAAGACTTTCTCTTGTGGGAAGGGCAGGAAAAACATTGCAACTTAACCCCCTGGAGGTTTCGTGCGCAACCCTAGGTGCCAAGGTCCATGCACAATCACGAAGACAGATAGTTGATCGGAGGGAGGAAATTTTTTTCTATCCACAACTCTTGCAAATGTGAACATGGCACTGTATTAATATATATTTATTGATTCAAAAGACTGGAGTCAATGGGGTTGGGCATGTTTGTGTTAGCTTCAAGATTTACATGGTCCCTGAAAAATTCTTGATAAAATGTGATTGATGCATAAAGAGCATTAACCTCTCCTAGAAGCTGGCGCTTAGGCATGATGCTAAAAAGCCCACTCGCTCTTACCAAGTGCGCCAAAGGCATCCTCACTTTCACATGTTTTGGACTGCTTCCTGATGTACTTGTGAATTTACTGCAGTCTAGCAATGTCAATGAGGATCCGCTTCTCATTCAGAAGCACAAAGCGAATGGAAGTATTAACACCTTGGCCTGCAGAGATAGCAATTGATTGTTCGATGGCATTGATTGCTTAATATTTTGATTGCATTTGTACAAATTTGCTCCATGGTTGACAGAGACTTGTTGCTGATTTCATGCTTGCCTTTCTTCTGGTTTCAGGAAGAATGTGTAAGGTCGTCTGTCTTTCCTTGCTGACATGGTGCCCTAGCGACATCCTTGTAACAAAAATCTATATGAAGTTCATTTCTGTACTCAGGATTGGCGAACATTGATCTTGTATTCTGTACGCCGCTCCCGAGTCCGAGTTGCCGTTTCCTAGAATATGTAGGCAACTTCTTTCTCCCACATTTAGGTTAGAAAAAGACAGACGAGATTGTTGGAATCCTAGGTATTGTGCAGGGTAGACTCCAGGCTGGTAAAGCCAGATGTAAAGAAATTGTTATTCTATGGCTCCTACCTTCGCACTAGAATCTAGAATGTACTACTCCTCTGGTGCTTACTTATCGACTCTCGGCATGATGCCGGATTGCTCCTTCTAGAACTTTCCAGAAAAATCCCAACAGAGATGACCAAAGGAGGATTGTACGGTGTGGGCAGACAACGGTCAAGGATTATCGATTATCGGACCGTAAAGCCGCATGACTCGACCGTTTCTTTCCTTCCAATCCCGTCTTAAAAGGCAGCATATCGCGCCATCTTCCCTATTGTTTCTTCTCCAAAGAGGTATGGCTATCGTTCACAACGTCGCACAGAGTGGATTTGGTTCCGGCACAAACGAACTATATGACCGGTATGTGTCGGTTTGATATACGCGAGGCGTTTATCTTGAATACTGCGTTCAGCGCACGACCGTCGTATCAATCCATTGCCTTGTCTGCGATAAGGGAAGCAGTAAAGGCTACACCTCCGTTCAATGTCGCCGAGTACGTGAACCATACTCGAGTCCAAATGTCCTTCTGAACACATCCACGAACATAGAATTGGTGCTGGAACAGGTCTGTTCACCAAAGCACTCCTCAAGCACCCAGATTTCTCCGGCGCAATCCAAGAACTGAGAGCTGTGGAACCTAGCGCTGGAATGCGTGACGTCTTCGTCAAGGCCGTTCAAGATGAACGTGTCTCTGCGAGGGAGGGTACATTTGATACCACCAACATTGAAGACGGTTGGGCGGACCTCGTCACGATTGCTCAGGCACGTCGTTTGTTCCCGGTAGAGGGCTTCTCACTTCATTAATGCAGGCATTTCATTGGTGCCCTGATTTTGACGCTGCCTCTATCGAGTTCGCCAGAATCCTCAAGCCAGGTGGAGTTGTCGCTTTCATTTGGAACCTCGAGGATAGGTGCATCCCTTCATTCTATACACCCCGTACCATGTATCTGATGCTTGTGTCCATCAGGGATGCGGCACGATGGGTTGCTCAACTGAGGAATGAAATCGAGCAGCATGAAGACGGCACTCCTCAGTTCCGTCTAGGCTTGTGGCGCAAGACTTTTGATATTGATTCTTACAAAAAACTCTTTGAACCGCCAGTAGAGAAGACTTGGGCGTATACCTTGCCTTGCAACGTCTCACTCGCGGTGGATAGAGCAAACAGTAAAAGCTACATCCAGACTTTACCTGACGACGTCAGGTCTAAGGTATTAGATAGCCTCAAGGCCATCGTAGAGCGAGGCGATGATAAGGTGTGGATAGACGAAAGCCAAGGCACTTTCGAATATCCTTACCAGACGTTCTTGGTCATTTCACAGAAGAAATGTTAGAACACGAATTTTTAGACATGTAGAATTTGTTTATAATCTCAACTGAAATGATATACAACTTTCCTTGCTCAAGAACCGACCAATCATAAAATAGCGACATAAATGATGCCATATAATTCAAGAAAACACTTGCTTATCGGCTTTCGCAAAACGATGCTGGTAAAAATGGTTACGAAGGTGACTAGGGTATACATGCAAGAAGAGAACGAAGAAGGCATCTTTCAAGCAAAGTAAGATGCCCACGCAAGAAGGACCAGAAGACACTGATGTGAGGAATGGCAGTGAGAAATGGTGTCTGAAGGAAGGATATCTCACTGACCAGTGGCGTGGCAGCGAGCACTTTGAGTGCCCCGTCATAATGATAGTGATGTCCCTCGTCCTCATCCTCATCCTCGTCTTCCTCTTGGTCGTCCTCATTGTCACTGTCCCAGGCGTCCTCGTCCTCGTCTTCATCCGCTTCTTCACTATCGTGCTCGATATAGTCATCGAGATCATAGTGAGGAGGAACGATGAACTAGGATAATCAGCGTGACTTCTCTACAGAAATTACAACCGACTTACTCGGCTGGTATGGGGAACAATTGCAGGTGCTTGTGGAATAGGCATGTACGTGTACGTGTACTCTCCTTCAGACTGAAACAAATTAGCGCACTGCAATAAAGAGAAGACAGTAGGATACTGTACCTTGTGAGAAAGAGGGCCCGGATGGTGGCGCGCGGCATACGCGCCGACTGAGAGGTGGAGAGAAGAAGAGGAATACTGATGAAGAGCTTCATCATAGGTGGGAGGAGGAGAACGAGGGACAAATTTCTTGCAGGAGCGATAACAAGGCATTTTGGGGGATAAAAGGGCGGCGCAGGAAACCGAAATATTCACGCAGCTTAAATAGTCAAAAATTTTAGGTGTCTAGCTTCGTAAAAAATATTGCCAAGTAGCCGAAATTGGTGCCCTTTTGTTTCCTTTTGAACATGCGCCAGTCCGGACCACAGAAAGTCGTAAGGACCCTAATCGAAGAAGTTTCTTTCCGATCCTGATTGACACGACTCAGGTTTGCAGTCACAGGCAGTAGACGCCGTTCCCATCGAGGGAAGGGTCCTGAACCGGAAGACTGGGTCAAATTTGTAGGGGCGCATCGCAGAGCGCCTGACAGCCTCGAGGCCGAATAATCAGAATGGACATGCCGACCAGGACGTCGGGGATACGATGACCAGGAAACGTTTGGTTCGTTTCACCTCATCTTGAAACAGATACCGTTGCTAGCGATTCAAAACGTCGAAGCCGTCACCAAGTCAGCCTGAAGGAATGTGTTCCTCGCTCTTGCTCCTAGTCCTTGGTGATATCCACGCGCAAGACAGATGCACAGGTGAGAATATGATCTTTTCAGGACTCTGCGGTCTTCGACGCCGGTAAATCCTTTGTATCTTCCGTTCAAATCTTTGCCATATTTCGCCTCTGGCTCCGGGGCATTAACGCGGACGTACGCCTGTGTGACGTGACAGAATGAGTCATTTTCATGTCACGTCAATAAAAGGCTCGGGACCGTGTGTATGTCGCGTTATCCTGTATCAGTGATGTACAACCACCACTGAAATGAACAGCATCGTTTAGGTGCCCCATACTGGAGTGAATTATCAAGACAATACTCACCATCTGCAAAAATTCATCAAGAATAATGACCTGCCAGCCCACCAAGTAGGTATGCACGGACCTCAAAGGACTCAACGCCACGGTATTCGTCTGGGTTGCAAGGCGCAAGATTACCTTTCAAGAAGCAAATCAAGAATGCAGCAACGCACCTTCTGGCCCCACCCATCTCTTCTGAGAATCCAGCTTTGAGAGCGTCGCCTCCTCATCCTCCATGCTCCTGGGGTCGATTATCTTGCTAGGTGACTCTATTGCTCGCTGAAAGCTTCAAGAAGAGCACCCCCTTTGTTGCAATGTCCTATTCTCCGATTATCTTGACGGTCGATCCGTGAGATTGCGTCTGAGTGCTATCGCCGTTGCCTATCCTCGTCATCTTTGCTTCTTGAGGTCTTTTCTATCATCAGGATAGTCCCAGAGCAACATGAGAGGCTTGTATGTGTCTATCGCCTTCAAGAGGCGCAACTTGCAAGAGCAAGCCACGGTAAAAGTCCGCAAGATCAGCCTTGTAAGTGAGAAAAATCCATCATAATCGTT